GAAGTTTATCTGATCCTATCTTATGACACATTTACAGGCGCTTGCTGTTTTTCTGGGGTTATGTTTTGGTTAGAAATCATTAGAGATGAATTAAAACCGATACTGCAATGAAATAACAGTGCAGATGTTGGGAAATGTAATTGGATCTGTTCAGTGATATGGGTTAAAGCTGAGATCCTGATTGGACAAACTATGCACTCATGAACTTTCTACTGGCTGATGATAACCCAGAATGTAATCTTGGTTAAAAAAACACAATTGGACCACATTTGTTGTAAATTAGCTGTGGTACAGTGGCTTGCAAAAATACTGATACCAATAAACTAATTATGGATTTTAACACTTTAAGCAACTGTGGTTAAGTTTATCATCATTCTAACAATATTGGAATATATTATTAGCCAGTGAATTTCCACTTGAATGTTTTGTTTACCTAAAGGCCAAAGCATTCTGTAAAATCATAGTTTGTGTCTTGTCTCTACCATCGGCAATAAAACGTTTCTTCTGTCTGCAACATGCACGAGCCCAGACCAGAAAAGTTAAATTCAATTTAATCAAATTTATTTTTGGCTGTAAATCAGAACAGTAGTAATCTCGGACGACTTTACAAAGTTGTCGATTCGTCAACACAGATCAGAGAATCAAACCGCTCAAACACATGAAATGCAACGATTAAGAAAAGCCCTTAGGTTCAAAAGAGGCGGATGACCAATGTCCATAAAAAGTGTCATGTATCACTTCACTGTCGTCAAACACTTTGTTGTTTGACAACAAAGTGTCTGACAAAGATCCTTGATAAAATCTTATGCTTGTGGTCGTAAAAAATGAGACAAAATGTGAAAATGTGCAAGTTGTTGAAAGCCAATACAATCCTAACCATTAAATACTTTGAGAAATGGCCACTTAAATCTAATTTTATTTTCTGGTATTGATTGTCATGTCAAGGTGGCTGACAATGGGGCGGAGTTTTCTTTCTGAGTCGGGGCACATGCAAAAATTCTGGTGAAAAATGAAGTCAGTACAAAACGGTCGCTGCTTATACTTGTTTGTGTATGACTTGTGCTATACAAATAAACTTGACTTGCCTGCCTTGAATTGAACAGACAAACTGTTAATTTATTTCTGACATAATAATTTCTGACATTTAATCATCCATCCATCCATCCATCCATTTTCTTCCCCTTAATCCATCTCTGGGTCAGGGGGGTGGCAGTCAGAGCTGCACCCAGTCCACAGAGCACCAGCCCCTCACTGATCCTCCTGCAGGTGGTGAGTCCACAGGAGCTGAGATCTTTCAGTGGGGGATTCAGGCAAAGTGGGATTAAGTGTCTTGCCCAAGGACACAACGACAGCAGTCATCAGTGGGAGTGATGAAGCAGGTCTTACGGTGGGCTCGAACCCACGACCTTCAGGCCCAAAGGCCAATGCTCTACCAACTGAGCTACTGTCGCAAATTGAATTATTTACAATCACATACATAGGTTAAACTTACATGCAGAGAAATATGTCCTTTTGACCCATCCTCCAATACCACGAGGACGACAAGTCCGGAGCAGTGGACCCGTCTTCAGGTGTTGATGCTCGGATTGGTCAAGGCCTTCGCTGCAGGTTTTTACCTATTTTTTTGTGGTGGGAGAAACCGGAGGGAACCCACCCAGAGAAGGAGAATTGCAGATGCCCAGGCCAGGGCCAGATTCAGTTTATTTGGCATTTGCAGTAAAACCACATTGGAATAACTGTACAAGAGTACCCCGGTGTGCACCAGGATGGTACACACCAGAGCTCTTGCCACGGCGCCATGTCTCGGTGCCAGCACAAGGATGTAACCCACGACCTACGGCAAAGATTACTCAAATCTTACCAAATGTATGAGAACAATTTGCTTTAAAATAAGATTTGCCAATGGGACAAGTAAGACTATCTTATTTTAAAAATATTCAAGAAATGTCCTCCTTGGAATGAGGAAAACAATGCAACAAGGTCATCAGGAAGTCCAGCTCTGTCCTGTGCTGTTCCCTGGACACAGTGCAGCAGGTGGGGGACAGGAGGGTCCTGAGATATCTGCACTTTTTCACTTTTTATTCATGCACCTTTATGTATTTGCACTTTGCCACTGTACTGACACATGTGGGAAGAATGGATTAGTTCTGTAAATACAATGGGTAATATTGATTTTTATGTGGGGGCATATCTCACTGCAAGGTAACAGGAAGTGGGAAGCTTTTATCTGGTCTCATTCATAATTGAATCACTGTTAATTGCTGTGCTAATTGGATTGTTTACTACACACTAGAGATGAGTTGTTACACACCACTTAGAATTAAATTGCTAGAACTCATTTTATTCCTCTGGGAAATAACCCTCAGTTGCCTGGAACACAGCATTATACTGTAATTATTAACATTGGCCTTTTTACTTTTCAAAATTAAATGTTTTTAGATGTACGTGTTTATTTATTTTGTTACATTTAGATTACTATTCTGTTGGAGATATTGTATTTGAGAATGCCCATCATCTAAACCTGGTTACCTCATTAATCATTACATAAGTCTTGCTTCTTCATTATTTTTCCTTATTACGCTAAAGATAGAGATTTTACACTGCTTCTTTTTATGCTAGAGTTAGATATTTATTGATTGCTCCATCATTTTTGCAGCCTGGATGAAGACAGAAAGCACCACTAGCACATTCAGAAGTTGAAAATAGATTCATGGGATTTCTCTAACATCCATTTATCTGCGCTGGTGAAAGTTTTTTTTAACATAACACTGTAACATTTCCTCCAGTACATATAACAATTACTTAATGTATGTAAAAGTTTGAGCTGAGTTGGTCAAATGTCGTCGTCGAGACACAGTGAAGCTTGTCCCCATCAAGTTTCTGCACCGCAACAATAGGACCCAGTGGGAGGTAACAGCCAATCTGTTTAGTTTAGCATTATTGTAATTTACTTTAACAATAACAAGCCACTCTTGCATTTACCTCACTGTAGAATGGACGACTGGAAACAACTTCAGAACACATTGAAACAACAAATACAGTAAAAATACGGATGGCTGTCTCTTTAGGTACCGTTGTCCTATAACAGAAAAAAGTGTGTCTTCCAAAGGCCTGTGTGCCAAGATTCTGCAGTTTCTGTGGCCACACTCCGGAATATGTTTGGTCAATTATGTCCTTTCAATAATTTACAGTAGAGGTACCAGAAAGCAATTATAGAGTACAACCATTTGGAATTTGAACAATGTAGACCTGACATTAATGTACTTGAGCATCTCTAGGCTTTTACATGGGCCTGTGTTTTGTGACCTCGGGACAACAGCGGGAAACGGAGGCGAGTTGTTTGAACCTGTGTCTGGAAGACAAAGACGTGCCATAATAAACCTGTAAAAACAAACCTGTGATTTTCAAGCCAAGTTGTCTAATGTCCCAGCGCAGTGCACCCAGGACCCCAGGAAATCACTTTATAATGGGCTATGGATTAGCGCTCGCTATCATTACCATTGAGCTATATATACTTTTCCAAACATATTATTTATACAAGGACAACTTCATATAATAAAGAACAACGCATAAATTCCTCGGCACAGAAATGTATTCTTACTGGCTCTAAGATTTATTTAACTATTCCACAAAAACAGGAAGCTGTATTGAACGATAACGATGCTATAGAGCTCAAATGGGTACAATGCACTTTTACAGACTATTGTGAATAAAAGCTATTGAAAAAGGCTTAAGGCTCAGGTTTAAGAGGCGGTAAAGAGGGATAAAGGTAAAAGGCCGTCTCACAATAAGAATACAGCTGTCTATTGTGCAGTCTCGAGTGTAACGCTGTCCCCTGCCAACAGCTTATGGTCAGGGGGACTGAGCAGACACCCTCCCCCAGCTCAGGACCACTGCAGCTGTTTAACAAAATACAACATTCTATACCAGACTGTGATGGAGTTACAAAGTAGTCTTTTTCAATTGGCTTAATAATGACAAAAGTGTTAATATTAATAGTTTCTATTCCTAATTTTAGGTATTAACATGGGGAAGAACATTTTGTAAAGTTCCCTGCTTTTATACTCACTATAATTTACTCAGCTTTATCTACATAGTGAAATATGAATTGTTATGTGAATGGCTGAAAGATTGAAATCACAAATCAGCAGTCAGAAGTTTGTTTTTCTTTCGCCTTTCAGCTCAATCAAAAACTAATTAAATTCATGCACATATTAAAAATGGGATGTATGCGCTTTTCAGGGAGCCATGGGCCTCCTATGAACATAACAGCGCCCTCTTGTGGGCATTCAGTGCTACAAAAAAAACATGCATTTATACATACATAACAGTACTGACAATGTTTAAAGCCAGTCTACTATCTGTATGTCGTTCTTTTACTAAAATAAGGGAACAATAAGAGGGGAACGAAAGATTAGCCACAACTGAGATATATTTAATCCAAAATTAAATTATTGGTATAGTATTCAAGTGTTGATGTTAATAATAATAACAATACAAAATAATATCCTAAACACCACACACACACAGCTGGGAAACCATTTAGCAAGATCTAACATCTGTGTAAAACTACATATACAATGATTTGACGTCACACTTCAGTCTCAAGTGTAGCAGAGTTCACTTAGAGGGGAATCACTACTGAGGAAAATAACACTTCATTTGTGGAGATGTGAGAGCAGAAAAACAGAAATGACTTGTGGGAGAGTGTACCCTTGTTTGGTGGTTTCTCATCCCCACGGATGGTTCACTTGGGACTGAAGCGTGACCTCACTCTGGATGAATGGTTGTAATGTTTGTAGGACTAAGTTAAAGCACATTACTGTATAGCTTAAGTACAGCTTCAGTAGATCCATAATCTCATTATAGATAAAAGGGTCAAATGTCTTTTCTTTGAAGGAGCAGTAACGTTTGTGGAAGTCCAGAGAAAGGAGGTCATCTGTGCCAAAGGCCTCAATATAAAGTCAGTGTATCAACAAACAAATATACACCGCCGGCTGCTACAACGTTGGCCGTCCATTTAGTTTGTCGTGGATGAGTGCGATAGCTCCAGATGTGAAGTCTCTGAGCACCTGGACAGTCTCCCGCTGCAGCTGTAAGGAGTCTCGCACAAACTCCTGCTGAGTCTCCGCCAGCTGCTGCACCGACTCGGACAGCAGCTCCAGCGACCGCGACACCGTTTCCAACAACACGTTGGTGGCGTGCTGCTCGCGGAGGCTCTGCGACACACTGTCCATGAGGTTCTCCTTGGAAGTCTTAGACAACGTGCAAGGAGGTGGGAGGGCGTCTGCTGTGGACGTGGAAGGTTCAGACTTTGCAGCACTTTTCTCGATGCCGTTGTTTTCTTGGTGATCTTGAGATGGTTTGGTATGACGATTTGGGAGAGGGGCTTCTTCCTTTTGCTCATCTTCTGATTCAGCGAATGCTGCTTCTGGATCTACCACAAAGAGCACACATTTTGTTGCCAGTTTAAAAAAATGAAATCAAATAGAATGCTCATGCTGTGTTTGTACATACCTTCTGGATCATATTGCGAATCACCTGGGAAAGGGTAATTATCACGGAAGAATTATTATATTTTTACTCAATATAATAGTGTTGTATAACACTGTAATAAATATAATAATATAGAGTACCTGGTTGTGCACTGCTACTGGAGAAGTAGGAGGAAGGTGGGGGCATAGGACTTTCTAGTCCTCCGTTTGGAGAATTCTGTAATCCCATCATGTCCTCCTCATACATTTCTTCTTCATCAGGCCCATCATCATCATCACCCATTTGGGAAAAATATGTCACATCATCTTCATTTGCCATTTCCAGAATTTGAGCCACAATTTTCTCAGTGGGATTGAGGTCCTTTGACATGCGCGAGTTCAGTCCTCTGCTTGGCACTGTTCCTGTCTTCATGGCAGCTATTTTTCGCTTAGTGTCGCACTTTAGGTCGGACCATTTCTTAATGACCTCAATGATCTCTCGTTGGCACTCTCCTATCTCATTCACACGAGCTGTAATTTCTGACCATGTGCGTTTTTTAGCATCCGTTGGCACGCCACGATTGAATTTGCCTTAAGCATAAAAAGTGGTTAGTACATAGTTATCATAACTTTATAGAAGTTGATCAATTGTTAATGTACATACCCACTACTATTTTACGGTGTTTCCGTACTTCATCTAACAATATGTGCACCTCGCTAAAAGAGAAGCGAGCCTTTCTCTTCTTGAAACGGTCACGGTTCATGTTGTAGTACAATGGGGAGGAGGACATCGGGGACGACGACATCCTTTAATCGATTACTTGTATTCAGCCGATTCAGATGTGGGAAATCTGTAAAGAACACACGTCATAGGGTTAGTGCCATCATAACGTGATGAAGTAATACGTTTGTGTAATAATGGTTCTCAAACTGTGGCACAGGTACAACTGTACAGGAGATCCTGCAGGTGTTTATTGTTGTTCTTCTTGATGACCTCATTTGGAGTAAAACTACTGATGACAGGTCATTACCCTCGGTCAGAGCTGGTTTACCCTAGTCCTGTTCCAGACCTGGTTGGAATCAGGTTGTACTTTAAAATCTAATAATTACTTTTTGCTTTGAAGATTGAGCAGCAGCATAAACATAAACATAAACATCAGCCACATAAGTGGACAAAAGATGCTAGTCACAGCTCGTAGCTTAGCGGGACGGACATTTGCACATAAAGCCAGAACGTAAATATAAACAGACTAGATCTGTAAGTTTCTGAAAAGGCAGACAACTTCTGGTGCTTCTCCTGCTATAAATAACTAATAACCCTAATATATTCCACACGTACTAGCATGATGTGTTAACATGCATAACAGCTAACTAGCCAACACCTCTCCTAGCAGCGACACGTCCATCCTAACAGCGGCTAAAGCCTGGCGTTTACTCCTCCGACACATGTGTGCAGACCTGAAATATACATGTGGTGCATATTTAGGTACTGTAGACGTACCTGCAAAGGGAAATAAAGGAACATTTGTCCAGACTGCTTTAATTTGGGAAAAATGTTCTGCATGAAGGAATAGTGTCAAGCTAAACAACGTGAGGATGGTTGGACACACGACTGTTTCCGGGTCACGAACACAAGACTTCAAACCATGGACCGTAAAGACGTCTCTAAAGCACAGCGTTAATACACAGAATTACGTGCTATTCAAAGTTGACGGACACAATGTGGTTTGGAAATTACTTTGAAGTATATTAAGTATTTGGATATAAACCGGAAGTATAAAGTTTGCATTCGTTTTGGCACAATGACGTTTCCCCGTGCGTTGCCAAAGTTGAAACTTCTTGGCCTTTCCTTGACAAATTGCCTATAAATACATCTTTAACATGTGTACGATTTGTAATAGAATTTACAAGGAATTAAAGTATCTTTTCCTAATTCAGGCACAACTTCCGAACAAGTGTAACTAGAGTGGAATTCCCAGATGTTGTTCTGTTGTAACAGGTCAAAACAGCCACCATCTACAACATGCAGTACCTCAAGCATCAACGAACCCCAATATGAACAATAGCCTTTCAACAACAAACCATGACACAATTGAGTTTTGTGCAAAGATGGCACTGTTATTTATTCATCTTGTAAATTATAAAAAGCTCTTATTTTGATGTAGACATAACATGCACAACTTAAGTCACAATTACACTGCTGCAGTTATAGGTTTTTCAAGATTATGATTCTGGTTAAATATTAATTCCTGCGTATTAGGCTCTTGAATTCATAAATATATGGCTGTGTTTAAAAACACCTTCTCTTTCATGTGTTTGGACTTCTACTGTAATAACTGCCCATGAAAGAACATGAAGCAAAGCCACATACAATAAAACAGAACCGCCCACAAACAGGTTCAACCACCTAATGAAAATTGGCTCAAATGAGTGCACAACGCACAGTGGCACATACAGAAACAAATGTTATGGAAATAGTGATACCTCCCTCAACACGTCAAGGCTGGCAGCCGGGCAACCACCACACTGTTTCACCCCCTACACGTTATCATCGGAGACTGTGTTGGTTAATTGCTACAGCCCTAAACATCATACTAGACATTCCTCCGACCATTTACTTAACACGGCCACATATGTAAAGAAAATACCAAAGCATTAAGTAACACCATCTCCCAAAAACAAAACCCATTTTGTTTGAGTGCATTAAAACAGGAGAACACTTTCACTAACATTTGCTTTATATTAGAATTCCTCCCATATTATTGTTGCAAGTGCATACTCTATTAAAAGAGAATATTTTTTAGATTGAAGATATTTTAGTATTTTTAAACGTGTAAGTGAACAAAACATAGTTTAGCATAAAACATTTCAAACTGAAAATATATGGCCCTGCATGAAACACAAATAGTAAAAGTGAAATAAGTCATGCTGAACCGTGTAGACAAAAGTGGCACAAAGTGAAGGCGAGCCTCAGCTGCATTCAAGAGTACATGGTCAGCTGGAGCCACTGCAAAACAGTTGGGAAAAGTTTGGTACAAATGCAACATCATCAAATCTGTAGGACGTACCTCTTGAACATTGACTTTGATGGTTCCATTGCCATCTTTATCCAGCGTTTTGAAGGCACCTGATTTGACATAAACAACAGTTTAACTGTAATTTTGACAAACACAAAGTGTAGTCCACCCAAGTCCAACCGACTTACGGCACATGGCATCCAGCCTCACAAGACAGCCGATATAATTGTCAAAATCCATGTTTCCATTTTCATCGCTGTATCGTCGTATTATCATGTTAAACAGCTGCTGATCGAATGGGAAGCCTGCAAGATATACTTTATTGATCTCACACAGGAGACATTTACAAACAGACAAAAATCAAAACATTCAGAAAATAAAGTAATCAGATTTTGAAAGTCAGGATGTGGCCGCAGACTGCTGAGGTTAGTGCTGAGCCCACTATTGTGCTGTAGTCTAAAGACTATAGGCTAAAAGAATATTGTCCTACAGCAATGTGCAGCCACAGCACACAGCACAATTGAAGTGTCAATGTGCACTTCAACTTACAAATACCACCAACATCCACTTCATGTATGAACTGACACATGGAGGATTTGGATGTGAGCCATTATTGGGAATGCCTTTCTGACCAAGAAAGTCATAGTTAGGACCCGTGTTGGGCGAGTTCATTTGAAAAAGTAATATTTACATTATTTAGTTACTAAGAACTCTTAGTTCTAAGAACTAAGAAAGTAACTACATAACATTACTTTTGGATTACTTTATGTAAAAAAGAACATGATTGTGTTTGTACGTTTGCTTTAATACATTTAAATAAAGTTAAAATTTAAATTAATTGTTATTGCTGGCCCAAATGGCAGAACATTCATAGGAAAGTAAATGTAGCAAGGACTCTCCAGATAGTTTTGACTCCGCAAGTGTTTTAAAAGGTTGATGGATGAGTTAAAATGGTGTATATCTTCTCCACCGGTAAATCAAAACAATCTCCACATGTGCTCAACGTGACATAAGCACCGGCAGCACAGTCTATGGTTCTCCAGTTTTCCCCGTTTGCTCGCCGCTTACTGTTCTTCCCACGCAGTTTACAGCGGACGCTGATACTTTTGTCAAGGCCTTGTACTCAAAGTAACTCCAGTATCTCCATGAATGAAATGCTCCGTGTTCGTCCTCGCTGTCATGCTTTATGTTGCCGCTTGTAATATTTACAGTTTATCACGTGGCAGAGGTCACATCTCTCATACGTCATTAATTTGTCACGAGTCGACGAGACAAAAGTCACAACACACACGGCTTTGTAACAAATTGTAACGCAGCTTGCTCAAAAGAACGTAATTTTAAAAGGTAAAATGTTTTTCAGATGTAATCCCTTACTTTACTCATTACTCAGAAAAGTAATTGGATTACAGTAATGTATTACAGTAATGCATTACTTTTATCACGTCACTGACCAACACTGGTTAGGACACAAAAATATCCAATTTGAAAGTGACAGAAAACTATCACAATTGGCACATCTCTTGTTAAACCAAACAATTTATACTTACCAGACGCTGTGAATGCCCCAGGAAGCTCATCTGCACTAATAACTCCAGATCCATCTCTGTCGTAGGACTTGTACACTCCCTAAACAAGAAAAAAATATTATAAAGAGGCATGTACTATAAGCAGATTGTAAACAGTCACAAACCCCAAAAGTAAATAAAGCCACATAACATATGAAAGTCTTACATTCACCAACCTGCCATTTTTTTATATTGTTCCATAACATCTTAAATTCATGAAACCCGAGTTTCCCAGTGCTGTCGCTCTGAAAATGTGATAAAGAAAACAAGCTTCTCCATTATAGACAAATAGAACAGTATGCCACAGTTGTTGTATTTGACAAAGGCAGATTTGTCACATTTTTCCATACTTTACATGTTCCTATGAGAGCAAAAAAGATACACACAGCTCGACAAAAAATGTCTGAGTACAATATTTAGAGTTAAACAGCTGTGCAGATCTCCCTACTTCATACTTCATACTAGTATAGTATTGTATACTGACTGGACAGGAGTGAGTCACCTGTTCTACTCTTGTGTCAGTCATGCTCTAATTTTGTGGGAAACGGTATTAACTAAAAGACAATGCTTAGTTTTGATCCTTCCTGTCACCGTACCTAAAACAACATACACGCCTACAAGTGACAGATAGGATACATCCATGACGGCCACCATGCTCCTGCAGTTTTCAATGGTAAAGCCATCAGTCTTCAAGTCGCCATCTAAACAGCAAACACAAAATCCATGATAATCCAGTTTACCCAACTTGTGTGTTCGACAAATAGAACTTACGCTTTAGAATAATTCTGTTCAGGATGTTCATCAGCTCGTTGGGGCTCACTTCCATGTCCTGTGACAAAGAACATGTCAAATCCTTGTTGCAGTTCATCTGATTAGATAGACGACACTCACTTCTCCTGCCAGCTGCTGGAAAACCTTGCGGAACTGGCTCTCTTCATCATTTTCATGCTGCTCTGCATAAGCCAACGGCCTGCGTGGTGGAGGCTGCAGGACACACATTTAAGAATGAGACAGGGCTCGAAAATAGAAGTACACACACAAACACTGCAGGTCAGTCACTCACAGGTTCAGAGGGCACAAACTGGGCAGGATCAATGTTACTAGAAATAAAAACAAGCATGTTTCAAATTATTTCAATGAAAATATGGTACACTCAAAGCATGGTCGAAAGGTGTGAAGAGGGCATTCAAATTTTGCCTTACTTTTTATATAATCATTATAGAAGCAAATAAGAAAATATAAAATCGTATAACTTTATTCAACTCTTTCAATCTTCAAAACTGACTTGGGCAGTTGTGTTATGAAGTCAGCAATAATTGAATCACACAAATAGAAAAACAGCCACTATTGTGTGATAAAAGCTTGTGTATTTGCATTATCTTTTTAATGGGTTCTGGAATGAGAAAAATGTTATGCTACAATCTCGCAAACTGAAATCATATCAAAGGCTTTTAATATCGTACAACTTCTGATGAATAAACACCATGTTGGCAGACTTACCTGACAACATTTATAAGGCCTCCAATAAACTGTTTGGCAAAGAACATCTTGAATTCCCTGTGAACAAAAACATGACATATTATAAAGTTGATTACACAATGACTGAGGTGTGCAACAGTGCTTTATCTGAACAAATCAGGCCACAACATTGTCTTATAAGCATTTTATCTTCTACATACTGAGATCTGATTGGCTGAGTGAGGGATGTCCCCTGATCTTCACTTATCCGTCTGAAAAAGCAGATCTAAAGATGTGACAGAGGCTAAACATTTATTTATGTGAAAACTAGTGTTATATAGAAAAGGTTTTGAGAGATGGGAACTAGTAATGGTGGATATTATAACATTGTTCATTTAGCTATCGTTTCATAGTTATGTACTACAGTTGTTGGTGTTTACAGTATTTCAAAAGTTAGTCCAATAAGGATAATAAATACATGACTGTTCCAGTGACAGTCTTCCAGACCTGCTCAAAGCAAACCTGGCTAAACATAGCTGGCACACCCTTTGTATTCCACGAATACTTCCTGCGTCGCCCTAAAACTTATAAAAAAACACACCCACACTGCAAATAACAACCCAACGGCTTTAAGTATGTAAAAATATTGAAATGGTTTCTTAGATTATATTAAATGTTACTGCAGGACAACCATACACTTTGATGTTGTAGCTAACTTATGCGGATATACAAGACAAATTAGCATATCAAGCTAATTATCCACTAGTTTTAAGTTTGTAAAGTTACACATTATTGATACACGTTGTGATCTTTGTGATATATGATCGTATGAAGCAGTAACAGTCAAAACGTTAGCTAGCTTGGGGCAGGGGGCGTTAGATTGACAAGTATCGAGGCGTCGCGTGCCGTCCTGCTCAAGAGTGAAAGCTAACGTTAGCTAGCGTTAACTCACGCGACACACGGAAACACAACATCCACAAACATGGACATAGCACCAGAACATAATCAGAGAAGTCTTTACTCACGAGAAGCGTTGGTGGCGGTTTAGAAGTGGATGTGTCCTGTCAAGTCAGTTCACACAAATATGCACAAGCTACAAGCCCAGGTCCAGAACACACCCCTGCACGGCCCCCAATGACACAACCGGAAGTCATAAAGCAAAAAGTTCACTGTCAGTTTACGGGTTTTGCACAGAATTTAATTTCCTTTAACTGTTAGTATTAGTTACTTGGCACTTTGTTAGTTGAGAATGTTCCTATGTATGATATACCATATGCATAATACATTTGATTTGATGTATTTAGGGAAAACCCCTTGAGATGCAGCATCTCAATTTCGAGAGGGTCCCATGAACATAAAACAAACACAATACATAATACAGTATAATACAAACAATTGACATTTATGCATTTAACACACACACAGGTTTGCTCCCTCAGATCCCACTCCACCTCCTACTATAATAACACATTCAAAAAACATGTACATCATTACTGTATACAATATAGTCAAATACAGGCCATACATACTGCAGATGATGTAATAATACAACTTAAAATATACATCCAGATGTTACAAAATAACAATAAAAAAATTAATAATAATAATAATAATAAAAGATAAAAGAAAAAAAACAGCTAACATGAACAGGGAGTAGCAAGATATCTAGATAATTCGAATTTAAATAAGCCAAAGGAGTTGAGGATCTTATGTATGTGGGTAACTTATTCCAATCAGATGGAGCCTTGTATGAAAAAGCACAATGCAGAATGATGAGGCCACAAATGATAATGAAAGAACAAAACGATAACCCTACATGAACACAACAATTAATACAGTTAGAAAAATGTACAGGTATTGTTTATAACATTCTAAAACAAAGTAATTAAAAGTGTCACATTTTGCGGAAGTTTGAAAACAGGTAGAATTCTAAGTTGCGAAGTACTCCAAACTAAGCCTTCTATCCGAGTGCCTAAAGAAGGTTTTCATTATAGAGGTAGGAAGTATATTTTTAAATAATGTGAAAACATGTATAGTCAAAGAGTAATGCTTTTATAGACTCCATCAATCGTCTACATTGTGTACTAGGCAATGTGACTTTTATTCCAGCCCCTCAGGCGTGTCCCTATATTCTCTGAGGAAAGCATTCTTGTCCATAGGCTGTTGCTATGGAGATCCTGGAGACAGATGTAACTTTAAAAAACCATCAGAGATATCTCCTTTGTGACACTGCATGTGGTGGTGTTATCCAGCAGAGGGCGGCAGAGAGCGGTGGAGAGAGATGTGGATCTATTATAATAACGGGTACAACACTACTGGGACATGCTGCATAGAAAGTAAATGCAGCCTGTCCACATTTAACCCTTAAGTCAGTCTTTTAAATTTAGACCAGACTCAGTTCCTTTGTGACAAGTGGCCCTTTGATATTTAGACCTTCTCATGAGAGACCAGTCTGCAATAACCCTTCAAATAAACAGAGACATACAGAAACCCCACAATTTAAACTACTCTGCTATTTTATATTTAAGTCAATCAAATGGCAGCAGATATCCAGTGTGTGACAAATTTAGATTTGGGCAGATATGACACGAGCGACAGGAGACGAGGTGGTTTTGACACTATGTCAATCTCGCCTCATGGTTCATAGAGTTGCTCTGTTTTTATCATCTCTACATCTCCCATAATCCCCAGTGGCCAGTTCCACGGTTGCCTTGACTGTACAGAGACTTGTGCTTTTCTGAGTGATAGACACTCTCTGTCCTTACACTCTCAGGGATATTATGTTATTTCACTTACAATTCTGTTTTTCCACTCATTTATGTGCCTTGGTTGGTTGTGTCTTAATAGATTAGGATTTTAGATTATTTTGACATGTCTTGATGAAAATTATCCAAAATAATTTTCTTTTTTCTTCTGTTTATGATGATTCTATAGATAGGAAGCTATTTGGGATCTAGCTATCTAACTGTACCGTATTACAGGTATGTGATTGGCACTATATGGCATGGTATTGTTTTATATTGTATTGTGTTGAATGGGTTGTGGATGTGAATGTATGTGAAAATATATAGTGCAGGTTTTATCCATCAATCTAAAAAAAAAAAAATAATTATCTTTAAAAAAACAAATCTTTCCTTTTCTATATATCTGACCAATTGATACTCAGTAGAAAGGGGGGCGAATATCATCATAAATTTAGCCAAAATAGTGACAATGCTTGAAAAATACCAGTCCTCCCAGAAGAAAAAGGCGCAAAAACGACTATCCTATACAAAAGCGGCAGCCTTATAACTTAGTTTTTCTCCACACAAGGTCACCTGCTCGCACCAATGCCCAAACACAACCCCCACACTGTCTATATATAGATATTACCGATCATTATTTTTTAAATCTGTCACCGACTTTTGTTGCGTGTTTTTGAAGATATAGGCGTGGATGTGGCACAGAAACACTGATATGATCCCACTCCAGCTAAAATTACTTCACCCATGAAATACAGGTATCCATGGTTACACCAGGAGCCATGTTAAAGGGTGCCTCAGCGCATCTCCCATTCTCCGCACACTCCTTTCTTTCCCGTCACATTTCAAGGTTGCTTCGAAAAGAAACTGCATTATACTCATTCTTTTCATTGGCGTGTGAATTAAAAGCAGGTTTAAGAGTCGGGTTAAAGCAGAATTGTGCAGAGGTGGGAGCTATGGCTGCTTTATATAGGTGAAAATATATATAACGGAGCATCCCCAATACGCCACGGTTTTCAGAACAACCTGTTACCTTGACAACGCAATTTTATCATTCAAGCCCATTGCTACCTACTCACACAGTAGGAATCAACGGTGCCTCCAATGTATATATATGTGTGTGTGTTTGTTTGTGTGTGTGTGTGTGTGTGTGTGTGTCTGTGTGTGTGTGTGTGTGTGTGTGTGTGTGTGTGTGTGTGTGTGTGTGTGTCTGTGTGTGTGTGTGTTGTGTGTGTGTCTGTGTGACTGCAGGGTTTTACACATCCACACATGGGTAAAAGTGACACGGAATGAGCACTGCGGAAAATTTGGGGTTTCAGATCCATCACAGAAAATTGAGGGAAGATTTGAGAGTAACAATAAGGTTTTTGAAGGCGAGTGCTGCAGTCTGGATGGATAAATGATTGAAAGGTTCTATAGTTAGTGCAGCACAGGGCAAGAGGGGATTGAAAGTAATCATTTTTATAAAGGAATTAGTCTAATATAATGCGATTAAGTTTGCACGTTTTTGGTCGAGAGTGCTATGCATGCTTTTTGAGTTTGATTTCTCTTGAATGAATACACTAATCTATCAAAGACATATATCTCTGCTTTGAAATGTTACCAAAAACTGTATTTCTTCAAGAGGTTATGTTATTGGCAGTAATTTTAAAAGGATTTTCTCAAGAAGGGCTTTTCAAAGGCTTTTCAAAAACTTGCTTTTTAAGGAGCAAATTGTCAACGTTTTTGACATCATTTTCAAAGTATCTCTTCACCTCGGGTGTTAAGAGTTTTTTTGTGAGTAACACAACCCTTTGGACCTTTACTAACAATTTACTCACTCAAGTTTGATGTTTCAAACTTGTACCATATTTATCTAGGCTCAGATTGAATTTGTACCTATTTTTAAAAGAATATGAATACAAATAGAGAACATGCAATTCAATATATATGATTGATTCGATATTGTTAGCTGTAAATCTGAGTTGTGCTGGTTCTGGTGCAATGTTTTCCATCCTTCACGGTGTCATTTTAACCGGCAGTCTCCGCACAACCTTGTCACAAAGATGGCTATAATTATGAATGCATTACTGTCAGAAAAATGTAGAAATATCTTGGTAACCAGTGCAGTGGCCTAAACATACTCATTAGCCACAGCCCTTTTACAAACAGGGATGAAAAAGCCTAATGCAATTTCCCTCTTCCCCCAAATCCCTAATTTTGATATAATAGAAGTTTTTACTGTTTCTGTTGCATGTTGTGATATGTGTGATATGAGTATTTTTTATCTTGTCCCATCATTTTGTGCATATCATTTTCTTTACTCCAAACATGTATTTAAAAGTATTTGTACTTAAGTCTTGCTTCTTCCTCATGCTAAAGCTGGAGATCTTAGACTTAATTCCTTATTATACTGAAGATGGAGATTTTATACTGCTTCTTTTTATACTAGACTTCGAGATTTTAATTTATTTGAATATAGTGTTATTATTCATTTACCTTGTGCTGTGTGCTCCTCATTCCTTCTGTCTGTAACTTGTGATGCAACAGTGAAATTTAAAGTGGTAACACAGTTCTAAGATTGCAATGCAGCAGTGCTCTCATCCACAAAACATATGGGAAAGGGAAATATTGACCCTTTCTTTTGTCCGGACAAAATTACCACTTTTTAAAAACCATCTTTCTAATGAATCACATTTTGCACACGCACGTCCATAATTTTCTTTTTAATAGCTGCAAAAAAGGGCTCTTATTGAAAACGATTAGTCAGACTGCTGAGGTAGTAAAGAGAATGTTTTCCAAATAAAACATCTGTAAAGCCACATTTTCACACATTAACAAGCTCTATACATGGAGCGAACAGTCTGCCCAAGAATCCGGCAGTTAAAAAGCCCAAATTATCCGTCTGACTGCCAGTGCAAGACATGTGCTGATTAACTGTGATCTGTGTGTATCGGACACTACTGCATCAGGATCCATCTCGGCTCATTGTCAGAGCAGAAAGCAATGGTTCCTAGACTTTTAGCCCCACCAGCGTAGACAGGGCACAAGTACTCCCTGTTGTTAGAGAAATATAGAAATAGCTTGGTAACCAGTGCTAGTACTGTACTAATCAGCCGTAGTCCCTTAACAAACCTGTGTTAATAAAGTAATAATTCTCCCAAAAATTGAGATAGGGAGGTGTCCAGGCTGGAGGAGACCCCGTGGAGGACCCAGTCTCTTTAGCTGGCCTGGGAATGCCCCCAAGATGAGCTGGAGCAAGTGTGTGAGTAGAGAGAGGCTTGGGCGTCGCTCAGACTGCTTCCCCTGCGACCCGGCAATGGATAAAGCGGAAGAAAATG